TTGCGGAGTAAAATATACAGAAACAGAAAAAAATTTAAAGCAAACACAACAAAACTGGTATGTTTTTTATTTTAATTTATTTTTAAATAAAGAAAATATCGCGAACCAATCATAACTAATGAGCGATTGATTCTGATGAACCAGTCATTGGTCTTAATATTTCAACCTATTTCCAACACTATATTTTACTGACATAAACTAATTAGGAAAATTATGACATAAATAAACGAGAACTATGGTGCTTTTTAGAAAAACAAACAAAATAAAAACAGGATTGAACGGTGATAAAAATATATATATTGCTGCAATGAAATGGTTAGTAACGTAAAGATTGTTTTATACGATCTAATACTAATTTGTTGCCATCCGAACCTTACTTGCTTAGCAGCATGAAGCAATGTAGGTAGTATTTAATAATTAAATAGTCTGTAATCTGAAAAAAATAAAGATCGATATATCAACCAAAAGTCATCTGAAACCTCAAATTAGTGATTTATATTTATCAACACTAAACGTGCCATATTTTTAAAATATTGTTAACCGTTTGTATCATTTTAATTTCCAAAATTATCCCCATTTGTAAAAACAGAGGAAGGATGCATCAGAATTATAGATTGTAACTTACTTTAATTCTAAGTACAATTTTAAGGTGAGAAGATGAAAACCTGGGTTATTATTTTCATTTCTAGAGTGTGCTTAATTGTTTGTTGTGTAATCTATTGATCTTAGAATATGTGTTTGACCTACATAAGGGCTATCTTCACTAGCAGCCCCTAATTTTGAATTGATAGGCTGAAGGATTTGTTTGTTTGTTTTGAAGTTCACGTAAAGCTACATGAGGGCTATCTGCGCTAGCCGTCCCTAATTTAGCAGTGTAAAACTAGAGGGAAGGTAACTAGTCATCACCACCCACCGCCAGCCTTTGAGCTACTCTTTTACCGATGAATAGTGGGATTCACTGTCAAATTATAACGCCCCCTCGGCTGAAACGGCAAGCATGTTTGATGGGACGGGGATTCGAACCCGCAACCCGCAGATTGCGGGTGGAGCGCCTTAACCACATGGCCATGCTAGGCCCAGCTGAAGAAAGACAGCTAGTTACCATCACCAACCACCAGCACTTATCTATAATCTTCTGTTATAATGATATTCAGTTTTTGTCTGTTCTGAAAATGTGCACACCTTAATATTCAAACGCGCATTCGTGCGCACTTCGTTTCAACGGATGTAAACAAAAGGTGGATGTAAATATACTTTAGTAGACATTTTCTACAACATATTAAAATCTTATCAAAGTTTTAAAAAGGTCTAAAGTTAGATCGTACAACAACATTTTAAGTTCATTGATAGCTATAGTATTAAGTACGATAAAGTTTATCCCTAACTAAACTAAAGCAAAATACGTACATAAGTTATAGAGTTAGTTTATCTCTTTATCAATTTAGGCCTTACGTTTGTTTGTTTTTTTAATTTCGCGCAAAGCTACACGAGGGCTATCTGCGCTAGCCGTCCCTAATTTAGCAGTGTAAGACTAGAGGGAAGGCATCACCACCCACCGCCAACTCTTGGGCTACTCTTTTATCAACGAATAGTGGGATTGACCGTCACATTATAATTCCCCCACGGTATAAGTGAATGTATAGTTTTCGGTGACTGTGATTAGCATTATTTTAGAAATTCTGTATTTAAAGAAGTGCTGTTGCAATAAAGATACTGATTTCACCGCAGATGTTTGACGGGTCTCTGATAGTAAAATAATGAATTCACAAAAGTAAAATTTATAACTTAAAAATTAACAGAAATATATCGCGCTGAAAAACATAACGGTAAAATCTGGCCCTTAATATTCATATAATGGGATTTGAACCGCACTTTTATACCACACTCGTGCACCTAAAGTGTGGATCACGTTTTTGTGGAAACGAGTCGTGAATCACGAGTCCTCGAATTCATAAGAACCCTTATCTCACGGTCAGCCATTGATTTTAACAAGTGAAATATCAAGCAAATAGATGTAACCAGGGGCGTGTCTAGCACTCTTTTTCATGGAGGTGTGAGATATATTCTCTTAGACATGAAGAGTTTACCTGTAACAATGGTGATATCTTAAATTATTTTATTGTGATTTTGCTAATGACTATAGTAATTTAAAGTAAAAAGAAAACTGCAAATGAATAAATATAATTAAATAATTTGTAAAAATTCTGTACTGTAAAATGAAATGATTAATAAAACTTTAAACCTTTTTTTTTTGCGTTTGTGTGTGTGAAGGGGGCTGGATTTATGAACTGCTAAAGCCAAGTCCATTCTAGTCTACTCATAGAAAGCCATTGGATGTAACGCAAATGATGGAGAAAAAGAAAGTAACAGGCTGATAGAAGTGGAATGAATAATAAGTTAATATAAAGAAAGCTAATACGCTGTAAAGGACAGAGGTGCACAATAAAGAAGTAATGGGTTATTAAATGGTTGGAAAGGATAGGTGCGTGATGAGAATGACAAAGGTAGGTAGTAAAATGGTAAAGGAGGATAAGTGTGAACTGAGAGTGACAAAGATAATAAAATTGTAATACACGCTCATAGGTTAAGGAGCACAGAGTCAGGCGAGAAAAAGGATGCTGGTTTACAGTTATCACCAGAAAAACAGGCAGGACAGGACATGATGAAAATATTTAGTAATATATAATATAATCAAGAAGACAAAGAGAAAAGCGAGGAAGGTGACAAAGTAAAAAGAGATTAATAACAAAAGAAGAAAGACATTTTTCTTTGCTTGTTTTAGAATTTTCGCACAAGGTTACATAAATGGTTCTTTTTTGCTTAGCCGTCCCCAATTTTTAAATGATAGACTACAGAAAAGGCGGAGTGTCAAAACAGCATCCATTGCCAACTCTTGTCTTATATCTAATACTGGGATTTGACGAATAGGAAACTAACAGAATGAAGCAGACAAAGTTCGGGTCAGTCAGGATGATAATAAAGCGTTAATATGGGAATAAAGATATAAAAAATCAGAGGTGAGTAATGTGGCTAATTAAATAGTAATAAGAAATTATTAGTGAGAAAATGCAATGGTGTGTTACGTCTCCGTTCGTTAGTTGGTTTTCGTAACTTCGTTCCGACGAAACTTTAGCGACACAAGTCCTTACTTAATAAAACTGGTTTATTCTTTCCGAATACAACTTTACGATACACTTAATTTCAACAGTCGTTCTATAACAAACGCTATATCTCACGTGGCCAACCATATTTTATCCGCATACATTCAGTTACCCATTACACTGTTGTTCCGTCACGTTGTCAACGTCTTATAT